AACTCACGTTAGGAAAAGTAAAGGCGGCTGGGCATAGTGCTGACCACACTATCTCTTCATATGCCGAGGTCACAGAAACAAGTGAACTATACTTCACTTGCCCTATAGACCTTCAGGAACCAACTCTAACCAAAATTTAATTTTTACTAGCACTGAAATGATAACAAGAATTTAATCATCTCGCGCGGGGCGTATTGTGGAGGATGAAAGTCGTAGTTCTCTATACCAATGGACATTTCCCACAGGTCTAAAAACACGACCTTGTCCTCCAAACCCCTGAACCGTTTCCTTATCAGCTCCAAGAACTGGGGTCCTAAGGGATCGCCCCCTACGGCGTGGTTTGAGTAATACAAGGAAACCACATGGGGTCCTCTCAACCCAACCAGAATATTCGGGTTCTTCGCCAGCAATTTTTCCAAGGCGATCCTTAGTGTTCGCATGCGCAGAGACAATACGCTGAGATGAGCTGCTGTAAAGTGGAGATAGTAATGAATTATTAGAACATGTTTCTCGTTAGCAGGTAGAGTCTGTATAAAATCGGGAACTCCCGTAAAGTTGTCTGAACGCCGCGTAAAAACGTACTTTGGTGCTTCGTGTGAAAGAAGGTTAATGGTGATGTTGTATTCCGGTACGTAGCATTTCGCTTTCATTGGGTAACCGCCTTCACTTTTGATACACTGTGTTAGATAGTTCATGCTAAAATAGGTGTTTCGAGCATTTGAATCCCCGAATATCCAGACGTTTGTGTCTCTGAGACAGTTGAGTGTCCAGCGCGAAGTGATGACGTCTTCGGTCTTGCAGACCAGGGACGTCCAGATGTTGTATGGCGTCCACATACCTTTGGGGTTCACGTTGACCCACGTGACGTTTTTGTTGGACTTTCTACAAAGTGGCAAGTCAGGAAGATTCACTGAGACACAAGTTTCGAAAATTTAATTACTACAAATCCTAGACACGAATGTAGACTGATTTCTATTATAAAGTAGTAGAAATGTGTTTACTATCATGCTAACATAAACTAGGAATTTTAAGATTAAAATAAAATATATCTTTAAAATGCTAATATCGACAGTGGACTTGACAGATGAATTGTCCTCTCAGACACATTTTAATTTATATTTTAAAATTAAAACACCATAACGTATTTTAGTTATTAAAATTTAAACGGCTGGATCGAAGCCTAGCCATTAACGGCTACTTTACATGTAAGAAATGTGCTTTCTTTAAATAATAGATACTTTTTTCTGTTAAACATGTTAAGTATGTAATCCAGAACAAAGGGCACAACTTGCAAAAATACCTTTCCTTTCTGTAAAGATTTTAATGTCGTGACGGACAAGTCTCTGTGATGGTTTACTGGGGGAAAAAAAGATCAGCTTAGTTCTAGGTGTTGATAATAGGGCTGGTAAGTAGGTCACCAATCAGTTCTATGGCTCATGCAGGTTTTATTGAGCCGTAGAACTGGTTAGTGACCTACTCACCAGCCCTATTATTAAGGGTAAGATGTTTACGTGCTGCAGTCAACTATAGAGTTAAATAAGTGTGTTCAGAGCACAATGATATGGAGGGTTTGGGTTAGAGAAGGTGGATAAATTCGAAAAACAAAAAGATTAGATACCTCATTTTTATTCAAGACGTGAGTGTTTGAATGTGTAAGTGAGTGTTACTGAAGTCACCATATTTTTGACTTGCAATATTGATTTCTCCCCCACACACATATACATACGAACACACACACATACACACACAAACTTTATAAATTTTAATCAGACCATCATGAGTCTTTAAATGTCTATTTTTAGACGCTTTTATCTTTCTTTCTCTGTTGTTATATCGTCATTGATCGAAACGGGCGAGCGAAAATACGAACTCTTCTTACTGACCGATTCGTTTCAAACTCTTCACGTGAGTCAAAACATGAAAACAATGCAAACTGACATAAAATTTGACTCAATTGCATGCCTAATTTTTTTTATTAAATAATTATTATTAGGGTGACTTACTACTATTATTTTGCTACATTATACGCGCATTATCATGTTCGATTGTAGCGCAATAGTTTTTAGTCATGAAACTCTATTGTATTGCAAATTTTAAAGTACTGAAAAACTGCAGCAATAAAGCGGGAGTAATCTCCCCTAAACGTTCTTAAATATTTTTATATAACACTTCGGGGCATGGCAACTCGGGATATAGACATTATTTTAATCCATTTTTAATTAATTAAAGTTTAAAACTATAATAGAATCTCATAGAAAAAAAAATTGCGCATTAAGTAAACGGGAAACATTATCTGTGTAATAGTGTGGAATATTAGTACTTTATAAATTGATATTCGTTTATGGAGAAATCGGAAAAAGCGTAAATTACTACTAGCTCTTAACGGAAATTACTCAACATTTGAAAGTTGGTAGAGAATTAAATTGTGTACTTCTATTTGAAATTTCCTTTATATATCCTAAACAGTTCTCAAGTAATAGGCTTTTGAAAAATTGAAAGTAGTATAAGCTCCACTTTCGGATTAGGTAAATCGGTGAAAAGTTGAAACCGAACTACAAATTTGATATAATACTTTTATATGAATTTTCATCAACTCAGCTGCAACGGTACTCAAGTTATCGTGTTCACAGACACATACACTCTCTCACATACACATACACACAGAGACATATTGACACAATTGCAAAGCCCAGTTTTTCCGATTCGATTACGCATAGAACGCCAAAAAAATTTTACATTTGCATTTATAATTTTTGCCCGATTAAAATAAATCCCTTACACTCCGTATGTGATGAAGGACTTAAGTGCAAAACGATGAAAACTGTCAACATTTCATGTGATTTTTGTGCACGATTACAATAGTCTCTCTATACTCCGAATACGATAAAGTAAAAAGGTTTAATTGCAAGCTTTTAAGAAATAATTCACCAAAAAAGAGGAAATAAATTATTTTCTTTAAATATTTAACAATACAGTAATATTTAAATATTATATCTTCTTAAATATTAGTAAAGGTATCAATAGATAAATGTAGTGACCCACACTTTTATTTATAGTTATTTAATTAGTAGTGTATTATTATATATTTAAAGAAAAAAAAATTCTACTATTAAGAGCATTATCACATAAAAGCTTGTAATTAAAACGTGTTTTATGCATATTTTCAAAACTGTTACAATACGAACGCTCAAATTATTTCTTCCTCATTAGCACATGGTGCTTATAAAGTTATAGCATACCCTCTTATTGACATAATTAAGTCATTTTCAGCTGTTGTCACGTCGTGAGGTGGAGGTACATGTAGACCATCACCATACATCCAGTCATCACACGTCAACCTACATGGAAATGGAGACTTGTTTAACGGGCCTTTTTTTTAAATTTATAATATCTGTTCTACATGATGTTTTCAATTCTTTAAAATTATATATATATATATATATATATATATATATATATATATATATATATATATATATATATATATAGTGTGTGTGTGTGTGTGTGAAATTATATTTATAAAAATCTTGGTGAATCTTTGTACAGACCTAAGGTCTCTTGGTCTTCCACAGTAATAATTCTCGTAGCCGAACTTGCTCATGTTACAAATACACTCCCAACCCGGGATATTCGGAGTATTAAAACATATTGTTTCCTAGTGGGAAATTGAAACTTGAGCTAAAATAGATTTTAAATTAAATAGAACTAATATTTAATTTAAATATATAATAAAATATACTATATATATATACATATATATATATATATATATATATATATATATATATATATATATATATATATATATATATATATATATATATATATATATATATAATATAATTTTAAAACATAATATTCACACTCAACAATAACTACTTGAATACAATCCCTAAACTTATAATAATTCTAAAACAACAACAAAAAACGGACTTTTTAAACACTCAAATCCGAGTTTTAAACCAAATTCAATCAGTGTGATCATAATGATTAACCTTAACCCCTTATGTAAAACTAGCGCATAATTCAATTTAGTGAAGCACTATAACTCCATATCTTATCCATATTCTATCGCACTGCTTAAATCGAACGAAAGCGCTATAGCTCTCACAGGATAGCCCGGGGCGCCTAATAGCACCCTGCGGGGGTGCCTATCGCACTGTATAAAACGAACGTTGGCGCTATTGCTCTCATGGGGAAGCTCGTGGCCCAAATTGCACCCTGCCGGGGCACCGCCCGTGCAAAATTGAAAACTTTTTTTTCACAGAAAATTTCCCATGAGTATTCTCATCAATTCCACAAACTGTCATGGCACTCGGATGAACGGCATCGAACCGCATCCTACTTGTATTTTATATATACCGTATATGTAGAAAAATCGCACCCTCCCGGGGCGCCGCCCTTGCAAAATTCAAAAAGATTTTTTGCAGAAACCTCCCCTGGAGTGTTCCAATTAACTCCCCAAAGTGTCATGGCGTTCGGATTAAAGGTGTCAAACAGCAATCGACTTTTATTTTTTATATACCGTAAGAAGAATCGCGCCCTGCCGGGGCGCCACCCCTGCAAATTTTGTTTCCCGCAGAAATCTCCCCTGGAGTGTTTTTAACACACACACATAGAAACACGCACATTATATATATATATACACTATACACCCTATCAATACACTGAACCAGGGGTCGGCAACCTTTTGAGATGGAAGAGCCAAAAGTTACTATTTTCAAAATTTCCCAGTATTTAAAGAGCCACTAACATTTAAAAAAAAATATTTGGTATTTGATCAGGATTAGGTAGATAAATTGTATTTGTTATTTAAATTAAATACCATTAAATATAAAATAATATGTATTCATATAAAAACATACCCATGTTTTGGCAGAATATTAACCTTAGTAATCAAATAATATAACCATAGGACTATCGAAATCCACTACAGCAGCTGTTAAATTTTTCACTTTTTTTTTCTTGACGGATATCCCCGGCTCAGAAGATGTCTCCAATCAGCCAGGCACGGCACCTATTTTCACTGTTTTCTGATGAGTTTTTTATCCTGTTTAAAGTTGAGTTGCTTTACAGTATAATATTCGCTGCGAGTTTTGAAAGTGAAGTAATATAAAAAATTTAATATTTGAGCAAGGAGCTGGAGAGCCGCATCTTGACATCAAAAGAGCCGCATGCGGCTCGCGAGCCGCAGGTTGCCGACCCCTGCACTGAACAGATTCCTTGATGTAGCTACCTAAATTTTTATTATACGCTGTGAACTGAAAGCTAGACAAGCATAAATTTCTTTATATGTATATATATATATATATATATATATATATATATATATATATATATATATATATATATATATATATATATATATATATATATATATATATATACTACTATCAGCCCGATTGATACATTATGTTTACCTCTTTGATATTGCCTTTGACAAATTCACCTGTCATGTACCTGGCCACGCCCACATGAATCTGATGAATGACGACTCTAATAAACTCTCGGGGGTAGGAAATGGCAACGTTGAGCTGTCGTGAATAGAAAATCAGGTGCGTAAAGAAAAGTTTGGAATTGATTTAGTTTCATGCCTTGTTACTAACACACACAAGCCCGTCATATGCTATCAAGCGTCACCGTACAATGATCTAATCGTGAGCTGGTTTTAGTTATAAGATAACGAGACTTTCCAATGTCCATTTTGGAAACGGTCTGTCAACTGCACGGTACAACACAAACCGATAACCCAGTGGCGTAGCGAGGTCGGGTGTCACCCGGTGCGGCACTTAATGGTGTCCCCACCCCCCAGAGGCGTTGCGACCCTTCCCGGGGACAAACTTTCATGTTTTCGATTTGCACCCCCACCCCTCAAACTTTCGATTTGCACCCCCCCTCAAGTTTTTGATTTGCACCCCCCCCCCCCTCCCTCAAAATTTCGATTTGCACCCCCCCCCTCAAGTTTTTCTCTATATATTTTGCTATTTTTTGCCTTGGTGTCACCCCCCCCAAATGGTGTCACCCGGTGCGGTCCGCTCCCCCGCCCCCACCTCGCTACGCCCCTGCGATAACCCATTATGCCCACCGCACCATTTATAGTCTTTTAACCAAACCTTAATCCCTGCTCTTAGAACCGAATTCCCATCCATATTCTTTTGGACATTTATCTATAACTTCCTTGCAAGAAAGAAGGGGTGAGAAGGCTATAGAGAAGTTGAGTTTTGTAGACCCGTGCATGAGGGGGTGTGGAAAGTTAATTTGGTTTAGCGGTAACTTTTATACACTAAATATAGCATTCGCATACTACTACACAAAAATATATTATTTATATATTAATCAACAAAACACACTTTTATTTTATTAAAAACACAGATTCATTGCCTTAAATCAGGGGTCTCCAAACTTTTCAGACCGAGGGCCGCATTGACTATCAAATATCAGTTCGGGGGCCAGTTTCTTCAAAGCATATCTTTGGTGTTATGGAGCCCCCCCCCCCCCCCCAGGGAAAAAAAATGTGAAAGAAACACTGTCGGGGGCTGACAACACACTCGAGGTCCAAGTTTGCTCTCACATTTTTCTTCACATACTCTATATCTATGGTTGAGCCCATGTGACCTTATTAAATTCGCCATCTTCACCACAGGATTCAGTACACTGCTGATGAATAATAGGGTGCAGGAGCATTGGCTGTAAAATATTTTTCTCATTCGCTTGTCCAACCAAGCCTTTCTTTATGCCACTAATGTACTTTTCCCCATCAACAGTCTGGTGACTGAGGTTAGTCCAGTCGAGTTATAATCAGCAAATGTTTTATTAACTCATTGAATATATCCTCTCCGGTAACAGTGCCATACATAATACATATTATGTAGGGAAGCCAGCTCTTGTGTTATGTTCATGTCTTCATCCACACCCCTAATGAATACAAGCAGTTGAGAGGTGGAACAGCTGTCCAGCGACTCATCCATTGCAATTAAAAAATAGTGAAACGTGCTTGCTTTTTTCGCTATTTGAGTCACGATGTTTTCACCAATGTCTGCAACACGGTGGGCAATTGTATTTGCACCCAAAGCTACATTGTCAAATTATTTTGAATTTTCTGGGCAAAGTTCCCCAGCCACCTCTAACAGACATTTTTTCCGTGGACAAAAAGATCTCCGTGGGCCGGATGAGAGGACTTTTCGGGCCGCAAACGGAGACCCCTGCTCTAGAATACTCTAGCTAGATTCTACTCTAGAATCTAGATCTAGATTCTAGATGATAATTAGAATCAAGTTTTTTGCCGAAGTTACGACGCTAAACTAAGGTTTTACCCAAACATATTCTTTGAAAACAATTTATAAAACAGTAGGCCCTATTACATTACCTAAGTTTTTAAATTAGTTGTTTAGAATTGCAAAAAAATCCAAACGAAATGCTAAGAAATGACTCGTTCGCAGATTAGTTATTTTCAACATCAATATCCACATTAGGTCTCGCTAGCTGCTGAAAGATACCGAACTTTACCGAATAGAACAGTAAATAGATCTAGATCTAGATCTAATTAAAAATTCTAATTGCTACTAATTGTACCATCGAACACAGTAATAGGTATTTCGACTTCTACGGTTTCTAATTTATCAATTCTCGCTTGATAAAAAAGTTTTTGAACATATTCTGTTGGCAGGTTTACAAAAAACAAGTTAATAAAAAGTCTAGTGACAATTTAAGCGCAATTTCCTTATGTTATCCATAACAATTTTTAATTTTTTGTGACCGAACGAAGGGATATTTTTGAAAACTTTCTTCGGCAATATTGTTCTAAATTATGGCAGGAATCGATTTGGTAAATGTTTCAAGTCGCTAAGTGGTCTGGTTGCCGAGATATGGCCCAAAAACTGCATTTTTTCGAGGTATTTTGGCTTTTCCGGGAAATCCATGAAAGGAAGGACCCCCCCCCCCTCGAAGAAAGTCTACCGCCTCCCCCCCCCCCGAACGAAATGAAATTTATATAGAAAATATATACTTTTAACAGTGTCCGCCCCCGAAGAAAGTCTACCGCCCTTCCTCCGAAAATTTCAAGTGCCCCCTCCCCCTGGAAGGAACTCTGTTTGGCAGACACCCACATAGCCATTGAGCTATGTAATATCGAAAAGATTCGATTGTCGAAGAGATACAACTCCGCCTTTACTGAGTATCACAAATTCTCCGGTGGTTTCCCCTGAGTGCAGAGATATGGTGTTGACCTCGACAGAATCGATAACGGGTCAACGGCATCGAATGTTGGAACAAGCAAGCATATCAATGCGTTCGATTGCTGACTACTGTAATTAGGTTTCCATGAAATCGATTACTGACTACTATAATTAGGCAACCAATCGTTGTAAACCAACAGCGTTCTTGTCGTAACGTCATACAATTGTTTTATTAACAACGAGCCGGCCCGCGGCATAACATACGCCGCTATTTAGTTGTTTCTAATTTTCAATAATTCATAATTTGTCAATTCGACAGTACCAACGCTGACACTGAAAATATTTCTTTAAAACACTATAAGTAGCTCGTTAAGGACCATAACCCCCCCCCCCTTCCTTCCCCCCCCCCCCCCCTACGTTTAAAATCGTTGGCTCTGCTTGTAAACATTTAGAGCAGGGGTCTCCAAACTTTTCAGTCCGAGGGCCGCATTGACTATTAAATTTCAGTTCGGGGGCCAGTTTCTACCAGGCATGTCTTTGATTTTTCTGGGCAAAGTTCCTCAGCCATCACCAAACTAACGTCTTTTCTGTGGACAAAAAGATCTCCGCGGGCCGGATGAGAGGACATAGCGGGCCGCATCCGGCCCGCGGGCCGTAGTTTGGAGACCCCTGCCTTAAATAATTCCGTAAAACCATGTTATTTATTGGGTTTTTCAAAATCTGGTGTATTTTGTATTTTTTTTTTATAGATTTCCTAGTTGTCCGCGCATTCACTTGTAAATAATATAATATATGAATTGAATACAAACATAAATCTCTTGATTCTTAAACTGGAAGAACTGTTAAACGTGTTCTAACAAAAATTTACAATATTGGTGAAACTTAAATATATCATACTTAAAACATTTAAAGCATATATATCAGTGGCGTAGCGAGGTCGGGTGTCACCCGGTGCGGCACTTAATGGTGTCACCCCCCCCCCCCCAGAGGCATAGAGACCCTTCCCAGGGACAAACTTTCAAATTTTCGATTTGCACCCCCCCTCAAACTTTCGATTTGCACCCCCCCCCTCGAGTTTTTCTCTATATATTTTGCTATTTTTTGCCTTGGTGTCACCCCCCTAAATGGTGTCACCCGGTGCGGTCCGCAACCCCCGCCCCCCCCCCCTCGCTACGCCCCTGATATATATATATATATATATATATATATATATATATATATATATATATATATATATATATATATATGTATATATATATATATATATATATATATATATATATATATATATATATATATATATGAAAAAAAAAAATTTGACAACATGTGTTTCGGACTCGCAACTTAAAATCAGTGTCTATCACCATGTCGATTCTAGAGGGCCAGCCGATAAACATTTGTCAAAATATTTCTAGTTATTTTACTTAGTCTACGTAGGAAAGTAAAATTAAGCATACATGTACACACACACATACACAAAAACACACGTACACGTGCACCTACACGCACACAAACGCATAAACACACGCATACACATAAACTATTTTATATGGAAAAATCCTGCAAAAAAATATGAAGATTTAGCTCACGATAATTAGCCTTAAACCCGTTGTGGAAATATCAATAAAAAATGTATAATTAAAAGTAATCTTCAAAATTATAAGTTACGGTAAAAAAAAAATATGCAGTTTTTTTAGTACGTTTAAAAATAATTATACTGACTGAAGAGTTTCCTGTCCATAAACATTTCACTGAATACAAATAGCTCCCATTCCCAAGGTCTGTGACGTCACCAACAGATGCATAGTCTGTGTTATTATCGTCCTTGATGTTATTGTCTCCCTTCATCCAAACCCTGACAACATCGTCTCCCTTAGTTCTCTGACGCCCGTAGCCATTCACGACATCCAGCCGACCCTGTATCGTCTCGAACACGTGACACGTCACCACGCCCTTTGTGACGTTCTTCACCGTCACCCTTGACAACGTCAGACTAGGCAGCGTCTTGGTGTCAGTCAGGGGCGGGTAACTTAAATATTTTTTCTCCCAGCTGTAAACATACTGCCCTCTGTCTAGAAAAGGCTTCTGTTGTATCAAATCTTCCTGTATGAGGTCTCTAAACTCTTGGTTTGTTTTAGCTGTGCACACTGGTGCACCTCGAGGACAAACGTTGTTACATGTGTCCAGAGTCTTGAAGGAATGTTGGGCGAAAGCTTCATAAATGTCTAAAGGGTGATCACTCCAGAACTCAGGGACAGAGGCCTGGTTGTAATGAACATCAAATACCCCGTGAAGTAGAATTGGATCTTGTTTAAAAGTTGGCTGGATGGAATTAGATGGCGGTAGCCTGCTTGGAAATTTGTTGCAAAATGTGGATGTTTATTTTAGATAAATTACGTAATTAAGCTAAAATATAATATAGGCTTTTAATCAACGTTTGGAAAAAGTTGAAAACCTTAATTATTATTTCGGCATTTTCAACAAAGCAACTTCTAAACAATTCTAATCTTCTTCTTCACTTAATTTCGGTGTTGTGAGAGATCCCCTCCAACACAATTAAGTATACGTGTCAACTGGTTGTGCGCCATTGAGGCAATTGATTACGATTTAAGCCTGCTTTTCTTTTTGGATTTAATTCAATAGCCTTTGTCCAACAAAGAAAAATCTACAAGGCAGCAGTTGTTTGATTTTGGAGTTGTCTGCCCGAGTTCGAACTCGAGACTTTCGATTTAGCAACCATGAGCTTTACCGACTCCACCACGCCGACCATTCTAATGATTATTGAAGTGTAACCATTAAAATGTAAACAAAGAGCAGATGTTTGCAAATTTAAAAAAAACAACAACACAATATGGCTCTTATTAAAACTAGGCTTACTTATTTACCAAGCACTTTGATCAATTATTAATTTCTTATTATCGACAAGAAACATGAAGTAATCGTATTTTTTCTGTATGTATTCACATTGCAAATTCTTATAGTAAAGCCAAAAGTGATTAAATTTGCTACCTACTTTTTTAAATATTTAAAAAAAAAATATAAAATAATCATCAACCTTATTTTTTAAAATTCTAATATTTTACAAACCATTCAAAATTTATCGCAATGAAGATCAAAATAGAAATTGCGAATGTAAAAATAGATTTGTTTTTATTCCACTGTTGAGTCATCTCCGAAATGCAAATACTGCAAATATAAAAAAAATATTTATCATTAGGCCTACCGTTCGAAGCGGGCAGCGGGAGGGACAACAATATTAAGATCTTGATTTTGAGAGATTGATCGGCAAAGCTAGTAAACTTTAGATCACCAATCATAAAAATTTTTACAATTTAAAACAATGTCTGAATTACAGCCCATTTTACTTTCTCGAATACATGATAAAGTATTGTAATCGTGCGAAAGTATTTGCCGTTTTACATCTCCTGACAATTTTAGCCTTTGCAAATGTAAACGAAGACCATTGTTGCGATGTAATGTGTATGAAAGGTGTATACGTGGGACGGATCACTGCGTGTGTATGTATCCTGTATAGCAGGGGTCTCCAAACTACGGCCCGCGGGCCGGATGCGGCCCGCGATGTCCTCTCATCCAGCCCGCGGAGATCTTTTTGTTCACGGAAAAAACCTTTGTTGGTGATGGCTCAAGAACTTTGCCCAGAAAAATCAAAGACATGCCTGCAAGAAACTGGCCCCCGAACTGAAATTTGATAGTTAATGCGGCCCTCGGACTGAAAAGTTTGGAGACCCCTGCTGTATAGCGAGACGCGAGACCGGGTGTGTTGACGTGCATGTTGCACGGAGTGAACGAGTGTACAAAGGAAGAGACTGGCCGTGTGACAACGGTTTTGTTCTGAATGAGAGAAAGGACGTGTGTAGGAATAAATGCAGAGGACAGTTGAAGGTTGGGGCGAAAGTAGACAGGTTGATGTGGAACTGTAAAGGCGATTAAGGAAAATAAAAGAGACTGTTATACCTAGCCATAATGTGCTGTTAGTGTATTATATGATATTCCTAACGCCCTCACAACCATCAATACCGAAAACTAAACCTAGCTTTCCGACACTATATTAAATTGCAGAAAAAAAAATGTATTTTTGCGGATAAGCGTGAGTTGTTCTAGACTAGAGAGCAATCTGTTTAGATACTATATTTATCAGAGAAAACTAGTTTTTTTTTTTCACAAAAATGAAACGTTTAAAAATATCAATGAGTCGGAAAACCTAGATTTGCAATCTTGTCTGTCTTTTCGTCTGTTCGTCTTTCTGTTTTTTTTCTTTCAACACGATAACTTAAGTAACGTTTGAGTTAGTTAAACGATATTTCATATATTAGTATTAAATCACGTGTGTACATTTTTACTAACTTTTGAGCGATTTCCGGTAACCAGCAATAGAGTTCCTCTTCAAAGGCCTATCACTTGAGTACCGTTAGATGGTCCAACTTCATACGTAGATATAACAAATTATTGACTGATTTCGATCATATTGTGAAACATTTCCCTAGACAAGACATATTACTTCACGCAATTTTCGATTTCCAAAAAATCATAAAAATTCAACCACGGCTACCAAAACCGATTTGTTCAAAATTTTCACGTAGTTGAAGGCTTGAGGACTATGCACGGTGTCAAAAATATGACTTAATTAGATGTTTAATTAACTTAAAGATAATGTGTCAAGGCTTTCTTCAGAAAGTACTAATTGTGTACAAATGTATCAGTTTGGTATGCTACTTCTATCATTCATGCATTGTTGTTGAAATATAATACCAAAACATTATGTTGCCTTTGCACGTAAAAGAAAAAAAAAAACTTCATTTCATTTTTCACTTCATGGCACAATTTAAATTTCATAACAAACATAAAAGTATATTTTAACGTGTAACATGTTTGTTTATTAAGTCTTATGTTAATAGCTATTAAACTATAAACAAATATTGTATAAATTTGATTCTAGCAGTTCTGGTTGCCATAGAAACCACAAAAAGGTGAGAAAATCAACACATTATGATAGATAGTATGCATTTTTAATATAAAATTTTACGCAAAACAAAATACAAAAATAATGGGGGTGCTACGTACACATTATTATTACCTAAAATATTGTAGTAAACCTATGTAGAAACGTACGTTGACATGCAGGTAGAATAATGCTAAATGCATGGAGCCAAGAGCCTTAGGGGCTTGAATTTTACATCAACATGTAAATCTGAGTAAACGCGAAAAACAGGGTGGAAATTTGCTCTGAACTCTTCCTCTTACAGAAAAGGCTTAAAGAAGTCTTGCTTTACACGGAAGGGCCAATTGACTAATAAAGTACATTCAGACGTCGTTGTATGTTTTAAATCGATTGTTTCTCTATGTAAGAAGATATTATGTATGCAAAGTGTAGTGAATTCATGATTATTGAACATTAAATATCATAGTATAATGTAACACCGATTTACACACAAATGTACTCATATCCATGTGTCAATGATCACTTGAGACTAAAGTTAATAAAATTGTAAAGTGATGTAAAGGTTGGTTCAGGAAGACAAGATCAATATAAGATAAAATAATATACATATCACAATAAGTAGAAGATGGCTTTAAAAAAAAAAACATACTATTTTTTTAGTGTGAATAGCTTTGAAAAAGCCGTTGACAAAGTCTGGGAGCAAGATTTAATATTAAAGCTATAAATATTCACGCATCACATTTTATGCTAAAGTGGATCACAGGTTACCTAACCAACCTCAAACAATAATTTTGTATGCAAGGCATGAGAAAGCCATGCAGTAACAACAGAGTCCCAGAAGGAGGATTCTTGTTCCGAACTCTCTTCCTACTCTTCATAAATGACTAAAAGCAAAATATACCAAGAACATTTTTGTTTAAAAAAAAAACGTTTTAATAACAAGCTTTTATGTAATAATGCTCTAAAAAAGAGAAAATAAATTATACACTACTATTTAAATAACTATAAAGAAAAGCGTGGGTTACTTTAGTATCTATTAGATACCTTTACTAATATTTAGGAAGAGACCCACGCTTTTCTTTATAATTATTGAAATAGTAGTGTATAATTTATTTTCTCCATTTTAATGCATTATTACATAAAAGCTTGTTATTAAAACTTTTTTATTTTTTGTAGTTTTTTTAGTACTTTACATGTGTTTATTTACAATAGAGTTACAGAATATATTTTGTTGAATTATAATTCTTGTTTCATAAATCACTCGACAAGCTCAACAAATGGGCGAAAAAAAGGGGAATGCCTATTAGCACAAAGAAAATGACTTACGCAATCTTCACTATGTCAATAAAACTTTTAACGATGAAGATAACCCTAGACAACTCAGCGCCAGAAAAATTAGCTACCCAATTTACCATGACGTTATTTTGGACACTAGACTTAAAAAAATAATTGAAAATACCAAAAGTAATGGAATCAAACGACTAGCACTAATGGGAAAACTAGCAGTAAAAATTTACACCGACTAAGTTAGACCAACCATAGAATATGGTGCTTCAGCTTGGGGCATAGCAGTCAAAATAAAAATTAGCAAAATCGAGAAAGTACAGATATTGAACTGAGAATTAAGACAGAAGCGATGCAAACGATACCAATTTAATTTAAGGAGGAAACAACTGCTCTAATCACAATTAAAGAAAGAAGAGTAACCGTATTCACAAACGGTGAAACATTGCACAAACAGAAACTCAAAAAGTACACCACATTAATTATACCAAAATACTAAAAAATAAAGCGGGAGTGATTTCCCCTAAACTTTCGAATATTCTTTTATAACACTACGGGGGATGGCAAATCGGGATATAGAAATAATTTTAAATCCCTTTTCAATTACTTCAACTTTTAAAAATAGAATAGAATGTGGTAGAAAAAAGAATTGCACAACAAGTGAACGCAAAACAAAATGTGTATAATAGTAAGGAATATTGTTAGTACTTTGTAAATTCACATGCGTTTTTTTGAGAAATCGGAAATAGCGTAAATTACCTACCGGTCAACGGAAATTACTTAAAATTTGATAGAAGGCAGAAAATTAGATCTTTTACTAACCTGTGAAATTACATTTATCTGTCTGAAACAGTACTCAAGTTATAATCTTTTGAAAAAATTTAAGTAGAATAAGATCCACTTTCGGTTATTGGAAATCGCTGAAAAGTTGATACAGAACTACAAATTTGATATAATACTTATATATGAAATTTCATCAACCAAGCTGTATCGGTACTCATGTTATTGTGTTTACAGACACACATACACACACACACACACAGACATAGGGACAGAAATGCAAAGCCAAGTTTTCCAGCCTCGATTACGCACAGAACGCTGAAATTTTAATAAATCTGCATTTTTTTTGCCCGATTAAAAGAAGTTTCCTATATTCCGTATATGATGAAGTACTGAGGTATAAACCGATAACGATGAAAACTCAAAATTTCATGTGATTTTTTATGCACGATTACAATACTTCCTCTATACTCTGTATACGAGAAAGTAAAAACGAAATAACAATTTTACACTAGAAACAATGAAAACAAAACCTCAATCTGCCGTGGATTTTACACCTTCAATTAAACATTAGAGACTCGTTAGTCACTGTAAAAAGAACTATGACTATGGTCACGGAGAATTATAGAAGATAACATACAAGTTTATCATATATATATATATATATATATATATATATATATATATATATATATATATATATATATATATATATATATAATGCTTGAATTGAATTAAAACGTTCTCATTGGACCTTGATAAAATACAGACAATACTTGTATTACTATCACCTATTACTACAACTGTCTCACTTGTTCTCAGTTTTATCGTTATTACACTCTTCCTGTGATTTACATCACGTAGCAAAATCCACCCCAGTAGAAATTACACTTGCACTATTTGAATTATGTTTTACTGATTATCATTATAAAAACAGGTAGAAGATACATATACATATCATTTAACGTATAACATACTGTGCGGAAATTTCCCAACTTCTCGGGAAAACGAGCATATCTCCTTTTTTCCCCCCCCTCAACTATTAGACGAATCTTCGCAATTCTTGTTATTGGAAACAACTATAATACCTAATAAACTTTATACATCACCGAAGAACAGCAGGAACTAAACATATTTTATAGCAACCTACAACCTCTTAAAACTCAAGACACAAAACGTAAAAATGAAGAATACATTTTCCTTTCGCTTAGAACTCCAAACCCGGTTACCAGACGCCGTAAAACTTTCTGTCTAAACACTAAGTCTTATCGTTCACTGTACAAACGGGAAATGACACGATCTTACCGCAATGCGGCTATTGACGATATTGGACAGTCGGATATTAATTCTAAGGCACTTGGTTTTTTTTCACAACGGGTAACGTGTTGCTACTTGGTGATTTTTAACGTAAGATTATACAGAAAGTTTTGATTTAACATATCCGGATCAGTGGCGGAACTAGAAAAAAGGGCCACCCCGCAAAAAAAATTCTGGGCCCCCCCTTTATATATATATATATATATATATATATATATATATATATATATATATATATATATATATATATATATATATATATATATATATATATATATATATATATATATATATTTACAAACATTGGATACTCACTTCTGGCCTGATCGGGTTTCGAAATTTAAACAAATTACTACATGTCTTGTGTGTGAGTGCATTAGTCTGTTATGATTTTTTTTTTTTTTTTTTTTTTTTTTTTTTTAGATTTAGAATATAAAAAGAATATAAAACATAAAAAGATTTGTATGTGTAGTGGTTTATCGTGTTATGTTTATTTTTATGTTTTTTTGTATTTATATTATTGGTTTTAAATATATTTCCTTTTTATGGCTTTTTAATTTGTTTAGTACAAATATATTAAAAGGAGCTTATGAGCACCCTTATTTAAATATTTTTAAAAAGGGAAATAAGTCATGGACGTGTTTTCAACGTTTGCCTATCTTTCACACTACAGCTTAGGCATATATTTTTTTTAACGCAGCAGCATGTGTTATCTACTGTATAACATCACTACTGTAGTAGATCTGTTTGTTATTTACAAAAGCTTTTACCGTCAAGTCAAAAATGGCCGAAAACTATTTTATTAACTATAAAAAATGTATAAGGGTCGGCTTTGGGCCCCTAAATGGCGTGCCCCCCCCCCCCCACGCATTGCGGGGTCTGGCGGCACTGTAGTTCCGCCCCTGATCCGGATGTAAAAGCACTCATTAAATTGTGGAAATGAAAATAAAGGACATTAGTTTTCAATTCAGCAAAAGATGGCGTCAAACACATAATGCCGAATGAAAATTTAATCTGTATAAATAAAATTGAAAGTGTGTATACCAGTGTCTGTCCTGTATGCATTACTTAACCTTTAACCAACCGCAAAGAAACTTTGGGAAGCTGATGAGAATTCTCATGAGAAAGTCTATAGAAAAAACATGTCTGTCGGACCCAGACAGGGTGCTATTTTGTCGCCTCGGGCTCCAATGTGAACACTCGGACTGGGGCGCTCGTTTTAAAGAGTGCGATACACTATAAATACCATATGGGATAATATAGTCGCTCACTGGAATCACTACGACGACTACGATTATTTCAGGCGTATCCGCCTCGTCCCAGCGGTCCGCTGATTTCAAGCGTTCTGGATTCTTCAATGAGCAATATGTCGTCGACGTTAGTTTTAAAAAAGCACTTTTGTGTGGATATGGATGTTCACGAAAATTTAGATACGGCAAACCTTATGTTATAGGACTATATATATATATATATATATATATATATATATATATATATATATATATATATATATATATATATATATATATATATGTACAGGTTAAAAGGCCCGTTTAGGGAGAAATACAACGGGTACTAGGTTTATAGTCTTGTCTCTTTGTCTAAACCGAAACCAAAATGACATCTTCAAATTAAGCAGAAAACGAAAAATATTATTCAAAAAATATATATAATATACTTTTACCAGTGTCCACCCCCTTCCCAGAAACAAATTTAGTCCACCTCCCTCTCCCTCAAAAAATTTCAAGTACCCCCCCCTCCCCCCATTTCCTGAGAGAAAAAGTCTGAAAGAAAAACTGGTCGCATTTGTAGATCATACAGAATAAAGGTTTACCCTACCTCTATAATCTAGACCCGTTTCCTACTTTTGGCCGCTAAACTTCAATCATACAATGGTTGTGTTTTCCATTGTGTTTGAGTTGTGTTTGTGTTGTGTTTGTGTTTGTGTTGTGTTTGTGTGATGCTTAGTTGTGTTCTGTTTTGTTCCCAAGTTGGTACATTGAAAAAAGATTTACCGTGGCGGAGCACAGGTATGCCGCTTATGAATATATCTATTTTTAATGGGAGTAAAGTTTAATTAAAAGTTACTATTTCCTGTTTCTAATAGGTCATTTTCTGTACTTTCTGATATTTTTTGAGAAGCGTTCATCTACAATCAGAACAAGAATTTTTGTTTTATCTGGATATATCTTCAAATATCCTTACGTAAGTACAACCCCTGCACTTTTTTAAAAATAGTTTATTTTGTCTTATTTTTAATTGTTGTCAATTATTTATTGATTTTATGAAAGCTTAATCATTTTTGTTAATAGTAACAGTTAATGATGCTAGATTCAGCCTTTAATTTAGAACAGGAAAGCATGTGGGGCAATTCCATACACTGTAGTTTGGAATGTCCCATGTTGCTTTTTATACTCTTTAGGGTTTAGCTATTATTTTAAACCATTTAAACTGGTTGTGGCTAATTCTGTAATTCACAACTCATGATTTAATCTTAAAAAATACTTAAATAGTACTAGATCTAGTACTATTTATTTTTTAAAAGACTCTGTTATTAAAATTAAGTAACATTGCCACAGACTTCTTTTATTTCTTTATCTATTATTATTTTTACTGCACCTATATTATTTATTATAATTTATGCAATATTTAGAGCTAAATATCCCCATACACACAATAGTAATTAGACTTTCTAACATTTAATTTTGTTTTTATTTCAGAATGGTCCACAATTATAAACGAAAAACGTCGGCCTATGACAGATGAGCAGAATTCAGGAGGAAGAAATTGAGGCTTTGTCTTCATCCAGTGATGAAGAGTGGTTGCCCCTATGCAAAATAGTTTCCAAGGGGAAAAATGTTTTTTACAAATTTTTAATAACATGAATTTTAAAATTTTCATAATGTGTGTGGAATTGCCCCACTTGCCATGTTTTTGCAATAAAAGTGAAATATTTAAAAATTGTATTTTATTTTGTGAATTATCTCTATTATATTTGTAATGCATGTCTAGTTATACTCTCAATATTATATTG